AGATAAGTGAAGGAAAATGAACAAGTATTGACTTATTGGGGTAGGCACTGCAAAATATAGTTAGATTGACTTACCGTAAGGGAATGGCACGGCAAATTGTACTTACATTGACTCCAGTAAGTTTGTAAATTTATTAATGTAAAAACATCATTATTTTAAAATTAAAAAAAGAATTTTAACTCATAAATCCCCTTTTATTTTAAATTATAAGTTATTTCTATGCTAATCAAAACCAGTATTTTGTTTCACAATTTTACGGGTATCAATTTGAGTAAAGCTACAAAACGTTATAAAAAAGATTTTTTTTTTAATGTCAAATAATAGCTTTAATGGTAATTTATTCTACATCAATGTCAAATTAGAACACTTTATGCTGATTTTCAGACCAATTTTCTATATAATTTTTGATGGGCATAAAATTCTCTATCATAAAAATTAATTGATAAAAACCATCAAGAGATTATGGAGTTATTGTAAGTTAGAACCTTGTCAAACTAAATATTAGTTAACTTAAGTTGCAGATAGAACTTTGGCATATTAGCAGTTTGGTTGTTTTACGCTATATCGCTGTAAATTTCAGTTCATTTTGTTCATCATAATTTAAATAGTCTAATAAAATGATAAAGTCAATTTTCACAAAAATGTCAGAACCTTGTCAAACCAACGTGACGATATGGCACCAACAATGGCTCAAAAGACTTTATCCAGAGTTATTGCTCGGCCTTAGTTAAATCACTTATATTGAATAACAACTTTAAGGTAACCATTGCACATAATGAGTGTTTTTATAACTTATTACTTTGTTAAACATTAAAATCTTTCCTTACTCAAAAAGTTTTTATTTTTGTTGTTTTTATTTTAGATTTAGAGTTGACTCGAAATGGAAAAGAAAGAAAAGACTATTTTTGTGTATTTGGATTGATTTACTCATATTTACACTATTTAACCATTATCTATTACTTAAAGATATGTTTTTAAGTATATCTATATTGCAAATGTATATAGGGATATGTAATATAATTATATTATTATGTGTTTGTATATACTTTATCAAAACTGTTAATAATTTTTTTGAAAGTGTTTATTACTTAACTAATTTATTATTTATTGGTGTATTTGCTTTTGAAGTGAAATGTAAATAACAGAAAATTTAATAACTTTTATGTCAAAGAAAATTTGTTTTCAGAAAATACTATCAAAAACATACCATTGATTTTATATGTATATAATATTTGCTATAAATAATTGTTTAAATTTTCATATAAATGAAATATAAACAGCAACATTACTTTTATTTTTGGAAACTATCTGGCAACTGAGTTGCCTTTCTGTGGTTTAACGGGAAAAACTTGTTTAATTTAAACTAAAGCATCTGTTTATTTACAGGAAAGTTCCGGGAGCTGCGATGATAACTACACATTATTTTATGGAAAAAATCCATTGTATTTTAACGGAAAAAATCCATTGTATTTTAACGGAAAAAATCCATTGTATTTTAACGGAAAAAATCTGTTTCTAAACGAAAATTTCCGTTTACATGCGATGGGTTGTTCTGTAAAATAGTTAGTTTGGTCATCGGCAGCTGCTGGAATATTTTCGTAAAAAACGCGCTATTTTTTTAACAGTGTGTATTGAAAATTTTTTTGAGGCTACAAAAACATTTACAACTTTATTAACATTTTTTTTGCTTGTTTGTTTTTTATGAGAAGAATGCCTAAAACAATTCAATAATACTACATAAATAGTTTAGTATAGCCGGTGTCTGATGACTGACTTCCGTCTGTTTTAAAGTAAAAAACCAGATATATAAGCAATAAAAAATATGGAGGAGTTTTGTAACTTTCTTCATACAATAGCAATGATAAAACTTTTTATTGGTTAAACTGATAACAACCAATATTCTATTTTTAGAATATTGATTAATCAAGGCATCGTTGATGTTTAGGCACTACATCAGTTCAGCCAGATATTTTTGGCATATAGTTTAAATGATCAGGGGCCATTCTAGGAAAATAATTTAGGCAGAGATACCAACTGTGCTGTTCTGTTAAGAAATTTGCTGCACATAGGCAAAAAAACAAAACAACAACAAAAAAACAATATTTGTTGTAAAAAAAAAAAAAAAAAAAAAAGTCCTAAATTTCTGAATTTGGGCAGCGCCCGAATAGGCGCTGTCCAAAACAGTCTAGAATAGCCCCTGATGATATATATCAGAACATATGGAGTTTATTGTAACTTACTGTAAAAATAATTGTAATAATAATTACAAATAATAATAATTATAAAAATAACTAATAATTACAACTACTTAAAATTATAACTATTATTCAAAATTTTAAAAACCTTTTAATGAAAATTTATAATAAAATGATTTGAATTATCTAAGTATAATTCTAAACTTTATTTTTATACAAGAATTTAATTCTTTTTATTCCTCTTTTTTTTACATCTAACTATTGTTGTACTCATATTCCGATGTCGTTTTAATGATTTTAGAATACTTCACCGCTAATGCTTGCTTATGCTTTATGTTTGAAAGATTGAGAGAGGGTTTGGCAATTCCATGCGAAAACAGCCCATTTTTTAAATAAAATGCAACCTTAAGTCTAAGATTTTGCTGATTTTTACACTACTCAAAGATTTTAATAAGTTATGAACATCCCAAAAGTTTCATCATCTAATCCTAAACGGCTTTAAAGATGTGGCTATTCAAACTTTGCCTTAAACCAACAAAAGCCTGCCTTTTAATCTTTTAAAATGATTTTGGTCTTTGTTTCTGTTGTGTGCAATGGAAAGCTACAAATATGTACACTTACATATTTTGAGACAATGAATCCAAAAATACAATTTAAAATAATTAAAAATAAACATAACACCTGTAATTTTGGCCTTTATTTTATTGGGGCGAGTTTAATTACAAAAATGCTGATGTACCTTGATTTTAAAAACAAATGTTGTTTAGAATAGTTTAAAGTTGTTACAAAGAATTGGAGTGTGGTATATACTTAAAAAAAAAAAAAAAAAAAAAAAAGTAAAAAACATGGTCAAATTTATTTAAACTTGTTACTTATAAAACAGGAATTATGATAAATCATAAGAAAAAAAACTCTTAAATTTTTAATACAGGGAGGTTGATTCTTGATAATTTTTGGAAAATTTTCCTTCCCATCCAGAGCAAGTCTCCCCTTACCAAAGAGTCCCAAAAAGGTCTCTGGTTTGAAAGTCAGAAAAAGATTATTTCTTTTTAGTTTTTGGTATCCAGGAGCTATAAAAATATAAAAAAGCTTATCAACTACTAATGGGAAAAATTAAAACTTGTAGTTAAAAAGAATAAGCAATTTTTGAACCCAGAAACCTTAGGTGTAATGGCAGCAAGGACTCTGGGAATAGTCAATTAATGTTCTGAATTGGTTCCGAGACATTAAACTCTTACCTTTCTGTTTATTAACACCCTTTCTCTCTCTCCCCCCCCCTCCTTTCTTTTACTATATTCCCTCATTAATTACATTTGGATAAAAACTTGATAAGTCTATTGATTGAAAGAGTTTAACAAGTTTATTATGCTAAATTATGAGTGCAAGTGACCAGTATATTTTATAATCATTTCTCCTTTATTTACAACTTCCTCCAAAACTCTAAACACAATTGAAAAAGATAGCACAAAATTTGAAACATCAACTCCTGAATAAGTAATAACACTTATTACTATTGTAATGATGCCTTACTAGAAGTTCCATGCCTATTGCTACGAGAACAACTTTCTTTAAAATATTTATAGGTAAAAAAAATAAACAGAGATGGATGGCTTACATCTGTTTCATATTCATAGTAAAAATGTAATAATCATTTTGATTATTACCTTTAAGACTCAATTTTTTAAAGGCCAAATTAAATTAAATAACAAATGCTGCATCATATAAAACAAGTTGTGTCACATATAAAAGGATGCATCGAAAAACAACAACTTTTTAAAATTGCCTTGTCTGAGTTCTAAATGTGTTTTTTATAATAAAAGAACACTAGATTTAAAAATTGTTTGATAAAAAAAAATATTTGTAGAGGTACCCCAAAACACTTGAACATTTAAATGGTCCTTAATATATATGTAAAACAAAATACTTCAAAAGTAGATTAACCTGGTACTCAAAAAAGCGAAATTAAAGCAAATGTTAAATTTAAAACAATGAGTTTTGTTTTAAAACTTGTCACTAACACATTTTAATTTTTTCTTTTTCTTAAATGTAATTACATTAAGTAATGATAGTATTAAAAACATCAACGAGTCAAAATATTTTAAAATTAAAATGTCATCGAAACAGTTAGAAACACAAAACAAAATTCTGCACAACTATCTACCAAATCCTTCTGCACAAATATCTACCAAATCCTTCTGCACAACTATCTACCAAATCCTTCTGCATCGTTACTTTCAATCGCTAGAGCATTATGACCCCTAAAATATTTTTTGTAGAAAATTTTTTTAATTCCACTTTTATTTCATCATATAGAACACATTTAAAGGGTGAGAGCAGACATGTATTAAAAAAGCTGTTTTATGGGACACCCTTTTATATATATATATATATATATATATATATATATATATATATATATATATATATATATATATATATATATATATATATATATATATATATATATATATATATATATATATATATATATATATATATGTATATATATATATATATATATGTATATATATATATATATATATATATATATGTATATATATATATATATATATATATATATATATATATATATATATATATATATATATATATATATATATATATATATGATATATATATATATATATATATATATATATATATATATATATATATATATATAATTATATGCTTAATAGAGTATTAAATTTCGCTGTCACACCCATATTTCAGTAAACATTTTGTACAAAATTAAAGTAAAATTAATAATGATCCAAAATACAACAATAAATGTTCCAAAATTACCTGTAAACACCATATTTTACCCAAACAATATCATTGTAAATAGGTTTTTTTCTTTGAAGACAATCATTGCACTGCCATGAATTTTCTGGAATTTCTTTTAAATCTTCATAGCATTCAACATGAAAAGATGCAGGACAAGTATCACAGCAAACTAAAGATCCTCCTTGAGAACATATAAAACACCAAGTCACATTGATATTTGAGTGTAGTGTGTTGTTCTTTTGGGGCTCAAAATGACAATCGCAAATCATATTATTACTAGTTATTATTGTACAACCAGCAACAAGACAACTACTTTGATGATATGCTGTTGGACATCGAATACATTTTAACAACTTCGTTAAATTACCTTTGCTGGCTTTTTCTGAACAAAGCCTACAGTTATGTAATGGACAAATAAACTTATTTGCATTATTTTCATTAACATTAGATTTGATAACAGGAATTTTTATCAAACAATCTTGATGATAATGCTTTCCGCACATATTATGAGAGCATTTTAAAATAGCCCCGGGTTTTTTGCAAAAGAAACAACAATGATTATTAGATAAGCATTCGTCACATGTAAAACTGGTCTTGATACAACTTACACCTAAGCAATCAAAATGAAATGAGTTAAAACAACTTCCTTGACAAGTTATTAATTGACCTTCACTTCCTTCACAAATGCAGCAATATAAATCTTTTTTTAGGTTTGGCCATAATTCACTTAACTCTGGATCTAATTTAACTTGATTTATATCCATAGCACTTGTTGATATTGTTGTTGGCACTACTTTTGATGGAAAAGTCAATTCTAGTTTATTATTCTTTTCAGTTTTCAAAACTTCAATAGATGTCAATTTTCGTTTTTTACTTGGAGCTGCATCATTATTTGCTGCATTATTAATAACCTCTACATTAACTTTTCCTTTATTTACTGTAATATTTTTTTCAGTTTTTCTTTTCTTCAAATTAAGTTTTTTGCTTGTAGTTTTTTCAGCTAAAGAATTTATCATGCAGTAATCCTGAGGTGATTTTAGAGTTGAAGATATAGGTTCATATGGTGATTTTTTGAAGGATTCTTTCTTTAATTCCTCTGAAGAAAGGTTTTCTTTTTCTGACCAACCATTAATGTCTGCTTTTAACTTTTCAATTTTACCTTTTCCTTTTTTTTTAAGTTTATTTTCTTCATTATAACTTGATTCAGTATGGAAATCTTGAAATGCTCTTTTTTTACGAGTTCGCTTGGCTTCAATAATATCCATGGAAACAGCATTTAATGGAACTTCTTTTAAAACTACTTTTGAACTATCTTTGCAACTGCCATTCAATAATTTAATACTATTAACATTTTTTTGAGAACAATTTGTTAATTTTGAATCATAATTTGAAGCATTGCTTTTTAGAGTACAAGATTTCTTGTTTATGTAGAAAGACTAAATTGAATAAAAACTGATTTAACATACCAATAATGAATAAAATAATTAAAAAAAAAAAAACATTTTTCATAAGTTGAACAAATAAATAAAAAAATTTTTGTTACAATTTAAAACATAACGCTTTTATTTTTTTGGCAAGCACTTTTTTATGCGCTCACCAGAGTTTTGTGGGTATCTTGGACAAGCGCAAAAAGCCCTGGCTAAATGGAGAAGACTATATATATATATATGTATATATATATATATATATATATATATATATATATATATATATATATATATATATATATATATATATATAGGGTTACGACTTTTTAAGTTTTAGTAAGATAATTAAATTCCTGTCATAAATTGATGAACTTTTGCTCAAAAGTAATGAAAATAGATTTTATTCTGATCAATTTTCAAAAAAGGTCAGCTACAACACAAAATTTTTAAAAGTAGTATTTATAGGCAGTAACATGAATTTCTGAACTTTATAGATGTTTCATATACATCTATAATCATAATGTCCTATTAAAAATATGCGACTATTACTGAAAAAAACAAGGCGATCTAGATAAAAATTCCTGTACAACTTTTTATGAATTGCAAAAGAAAAGAAGAACTATTCCACTAGAAAAACAATCACTAAAAGATAACAGCAGGATATCACTCAAAATTGAAATTGTTGGTGGTTGTCTGTTTCTGGGAGAATCCATCAAAGAGAGATGAGAATGCATAAAGCAAATTGAGAAAGAAGTAACAAGTTTATGACAAAAGAAATTCAATTTTTTACATTTATCAATTCAAGTCATACATTCAAAACTGGATAAAGTGCTGAAGATGCACAATGAATATTGAAAACAAAGAAAATACAATCCATTGAATGAAGTTTTTGACATTAAAACAAAAGATGGTGAATGGCTCTATGAGGACAAAAGATTGTATTATCTTCAGATAGAAAGCAAAGGATAGGTCAGAAAACACTACACTTAAAAGGCTGCTCGCTGCACTTTGATGGTAAACTTATTAGTCACCAAAAATATCAAGTGTTAGTGTTGAAGAATTAACAAAGAGAAGGTAAGTTACAAGCACTAGATCTACCTGACAGAAAAGCATATATTGTTAACAATATAGCAGCTATTCTTAATGAATACAATTTGTGGAAGAGTATAAATATGATTGTAGCAAACACTACAAATGTAAATACTGGAAAAAAGAATGGGATTACCAGACAGTTACAAAGATGTTTTATTGAAAACAGGAAGAACCACAATTCATTGGTTATCATCCTCTTGTTCTTGACTCAGTCCTATAGTAATGGGTAAAGAACTTGGAAATTTCCAGAGCAAATCAGTGTGCAGAACGAGCAACCAAGTGTCTTCAAAAATTTTTTTACATCCATAAAAAGAAAGAGAACCTCCAGCTTAGCTTTATTTTGTCTAACAAAGCATAAGAATTATTATTTACACTTAATTTAAGCTGAATTTTTTAACAACATTTTTTAATATATAGAGTAGCTTTTCGAACTTGTAGAATTGTTATTCAAAATTGCAATATTATATTTTTTGTAATTTAGAGTGTTATGATGTAACAATAAACTGTTAAATGCTTTAAGCATTTAACAGTTTATTGTTACAACATATTAACTACATAATAACTCTCCAATTAAAAAAAAAATTGAAATCAAAAAATAATGATCATAAAATTGTTTGAAATTTTATCCATATATGATAAATTTAAATTTTTGGTTTTACACCAAAAATATTAGATCAGTAAAGAAAATTCAAATATAATAAAACAAATGATGATAAAAATAAAGATGGTTTTGGAATGGTGTAAAGTGTGTTTGCAAATAAACTTGTTCAAGTGAAAAAAGATAGATCAATATTGAACCCCATCAGTGGGAACATTCCTTGATCAAGTAGTCAAAAATTTTATTGATCATTCACAATAATATGACAGCTTCTGACTTTCGATTACATAATTTCTAAAATCTAGTCAACAGAGACACTCTTGTGAAACAAATCTTGTTACTGAGGTTGATTCCATCAACAGCTGATCAAAAATATCTAAAAATTAACATCAACAAAAATATCTAAGAATTAACAGTGCTGTGTTGCGCATGGATGGTGTCCCCAGGCCTTTTCAGGAGACGCGTGCAGTCGCACGCCTTGAATGACCACGCATATATATTTTTTTGTTGATAACATGGCCACGATTTTTTTTGCATTTATTAAAAATGACGCATTTTAAAAACGCGCTGAAAAAATCAAACTAATTAGTCAGCTTATTGTTTTTTTTTTATTAATAATAATTTATTATTATAATTATTTATGAGAAAATAAAAACCTGACAATAATGCACATATATATATTTGTAATTAATGATAAAATAAAAAGATTAAAATAATATATAAATATATACATATTTTTATTTGTTTTCATGCATTTAATAAAATTCTGGCAATTTTTCGTTAAGTTTTTGTTTACTAAATGAATTACGTCATTAAGTAATTATTATTTCTTCCTGTTGGCTTGACAAGGTTTTAACTGAAACTTTTTATATAAACAGAATTAAAAAAAATATATATTTATTTTATTGTTTTTTATTTTTGTTTGTTTATGAACTATTATTTTGGTTGACATATAGATGTTTAGAAAAGATTTAAATATTTAAAAATTTAACTTAGCAGCATTACAAAAATTCAATCTTATAAAAATAAAGCAATACGCATAAACGTAAGAAGTGTAAATAAAAACTTCGACAAACCAATTACTCAATTAAGTAATAATAAAGATGTAAAACTAAAATATTTTTCTGAAGTTGCTCTTGGTCTTGCGAAAAAATTATTTCCAGTTTGATAACTTTCATGAATGTTATGAAAAATCACTCAGGAAGAGTGCCACCAGTTTTTAAAAAATTTCTTTGTTAATTATTTTTAATGAATGAGTTCAATACTTATGCAATTCTTTTGTTACGTAACTCTAACTTTTAATAATAGATTAAAAAAATCATGATAACTGCTTGATAATGTAAGTGATGTAATTTAAGTAAAAAAATACAGTATCAAAAAAACAAGTTTATTTTTAAAAAGTTTTTAAAATGAGACCTATAAGTTGAATTTGTTTTTTTACCTTGTTTTCTGTGTAACATAAGTGCAAGTGGCATTTTTAGTAATAAGTTTGCTTTCTTTTGGCCGAACTCAAAACTTTTAAGCTTATTTTATTTATTAGACTAACAGCTTTTATACGAAATTGCTTTAAGTTTAATTTAAAAGTTCAAATAAGCTAATATTTGGTAAAGTTGTTGCGCGTGTAACGTAAGTTAAAAATGGAATTGCCCATATATGTTATTTTAATGTTTTTATTTTCTCATTAATAACTATAATAATGAATTATTAATAATAATTAAAAAAAGATGAGCAATCAATTTTGTTTTATCAGCGCGTTTTTGAGATGCATCATTTTTAATAAATGCAAAAAAAATTGTGGCCATGTTATCAACAAAAAAATATATATGTGTGGTCATTCAAGGCGTGCGACCGCACGCCTCTCCTGAGAAGGTTTGTGTCCCTGTTTTTTCTTTTGGTGTGCATGGCCAAGGCCACATTGGATGTCTTTGTTACAGCTTAGGGTTTACTAATAGGAATGAAGCAATCCTTGGGCTATTAAACAGTGTACTGAATACTATCTATGGTTTGAGTCAAGTTCTTTAACAAATTTAAAAATAAATAAAGTACCAAAAACTAAAAAACACAAAAATCCATTGTCATCACCAAGTTCTCCAAACTTATCATTCACTAATATTTGTGGTCTTTGAAGTAACTTTTCTTCTGTTGAGTATTATCTCTTTAAAAGTTCACAAGACCTACATACTCTTTGTGAGACTAATTTTAGTTCAGCTGTCTCATCTCGTAATCTAAGTGTTGATAGTTATCTTCCTTTAATTCCTAAAGACTCCAATAGTCACATCTTGGTCTGAGCACTTACATTTGTAAGAGTTCACCCATTTGTTGCAAAACTAAGTTTGAATCCACAGACTAATCTTTTGTGTGCTTTCGCTTAGCACTACTTCACTCTATCGCCTTTTTTTTTGTTCTATATCGTTCTCCTTTATCTCAAAACTGCACTCTTTTGGATGTTATTTCTGATCAAATTGACCAAGCCCTTCTCTCTTTATCCATCAGCCAATATTGTTGCTTTGGTGACTTAATGCTCATCAAACTGAATGGCTTGGTTCTAGTGTAAGTGACTCTGCAGGCATTAAAGCCCACAACTTTTGCCTTTCTCAATCCCTAACTCAAATAGTCAACTTTCCAGACAAGATTTACCTTCTCTAATTGACTTATGTCTTTCTTCTGATCCTAGTCAGTACTCAGTATCTCCACATTCATCCTTAAGTGGTTCTTATCACAGTTTGATCTCTCTAAAACTCTTATCTTATTTATCCTCATCATCTGAATCCCCCTATTATCGTACCTCTTATAACTAAATTAAAGCTGACAGGGACTTTTTGCGTGATTTTCTTTGTGATGGCCCTTGGATAGAAATCTTTCGTCTTCCTGATAAATGTGCTTCTTACATAACTTTGTGGATTCAGGCTGGCATGGAATCCTTTATTCCCTCTCAGCAATTCCAGGTCAAGCCTCATTCTTCTCCATGGTTTTCCTCACATTGTGCTGCTGCAATTACCAATCGAAACCATTACTTTCATATCTATCAGGAAAACAATTCTCCAGAAAACAGATGTCTGTTTATTATTACTAGATACCATTGTAAAAAAGTCTTGTCTAGATAAAGGTGGAGAGGTTAAGGCCATCGCTCTTGGCATTTCTAAAGCGTTTGATAAAGTTTGGCATGCTGGTCTTCTGCATAATTTCTGCAGGAAAGCAAGATGAAGGAATTTGCTTCCTTCATCTTGCTTTCCTGATTCATATAATTTACAATCTTTCAAGTCGTCTGTCAATCGTTATCTTGCTCTGCAACCTTTATCTTTTCTCTTTCAGTAATTTCCAACTCTAATTAGTGGTTGCTTGCAACCTTGTTGGAAGTGAAGATGTTTAAAAAAAAATTTAAACATTGAAAAGGTATTGAACTAAGTCCCACATGAACATCTTCTTGTGTAAATTAAAGCCTATGGAATTAACAACCCAGCTTTCTATCAGATACAAGACTTTCTAAAAAAATGAAGACAAAGAGTAACAATAAATAGTAATTATTCTGATTGCGCACTAGTAAAAAGTGGAATTCCAAAGGTTCTGTTCTCTTAGCACTATTATTGATTATATTCTTTAATGATATTTCTAATATAATTACTTCAAATATAGTGCTTTTTGCAGACAATACAAAAATATTTTACCCTCATACTAATTTGCATTCACACCCTACTTCAAAATGATAATAATATCTTGGTCGACCGGGCAACTAGATGGGGGATTGATTAACCGACCGGGCAACTAGATGGGGGATTGAATAAAGAAAAATTTTCAGTTCTACACCTAGACTATAAAAACAAACACATGTCTATATTATGAACAATCCAGCAAAACAAATAAGAATTAAATCAAACTATATCAAATCTATTAACTCAGAAACTGACTTGAGAATATAAATTGATAAAAATTATTACTAATAAAATGAGGCTCGAATTAAGTGATTGTGAATTGCGATATTTGGAAATGCTTTGGGTCTTTAAATTTTTTGCTTTTTAAAAACGGTGAAACTGTTTAGATCACTAAACTCAATAGCTGTTATTCATAACTCATTACATTCATTATATCTTGAATTATGATATAAAATCTTATTGCAAAACCATATTATTACAATTGTTTTTATTATTATTAAAGATTATGATTTAAACTTTAATACATTAATTTATTTAATAAATCATCAGATTAAACTAAAAAAATGAAGTACAATATAATTATTAAAAAAAAAAACGCTAATCACAACAGCCTAAAGGAATTTAGTGGTGATCAAATATTTAAAATAAAAGAAATCGTTAATAAATGAGATGCTCATAACTTTTTTGCAGATATGTATACAAATTTAAAAGACAGAGGAGTTTAAAAATATATGAAAACTAATTTTAACTTTTTATAGTTATTTTTAAACAAAACAAAAAAATTCAAAAAACTTATTTCAAAATATTTCAATTAATTTATCAATTAATTTCTAATTTAAAACATTCAAATTTTTTTCATTCAACTTTCCCCCTAAACAAATATTGATATTTGTATTTCATACAATGTGCAGATAGGTTTAGCATAATTTTTTATTGGTTGATTTATAATAAAGTATTTCATACAAAGTGCAAATAGCTTTAGCATAACTTTTTATTGGCTGATTTTTAAATTAACCGCAAATTTTTTGGACCTTTAGTGATAATAATTTTTGATTTAACTTTTTTATTTATAATCTTTAAATTACCTGGTTTAAAAAATAATAATAATAACAAATATGTAAGTTTTGACTGTTATTATTTTTGCAGTAGTAAACTTATTATTTTATTTTTTCATTAATATTTGCAATATACAATAAATTGACGGTTTCATTAAAAGGTGTTCACAGTTTTTAATAAACTAAGAATTAAATGACCAGAAATTTTTCAGGATATTTCAACTCGTAATCACTTAATTCAAGCCTTGAATATTGTAATGCAGATGATAGTTCTAATAAAAAGATATTTATCTATGTATATAAATATATAAATATTTAAAAATTTAAATAAATATATAACTATTTATATGAATTTATAGTATATATTGAATATTTAAACATTATATCATATTTAAAGAAGAAAATGGCTATATATAAATTGTGGTTTGCGTGGATTTTCAAATCACAAGATTAATATTCTGGATGTTAAATCCTCTTTGCCCCCCAAAAATTAATTAACTAAATACTTAGTATAAATTAATCCCTTAAACCTAAAATTTGACACAAAGACTTCATGTTTAAACTCTTTTATGACCTTTAACTAAATGTTGGATACTGCTATTGCAGTTTAGCTAATAAATAATTGTTTAGTTTGAAGCCTTAAAAATGTAAAAAAGTTTTTTTTAATGAGTTCCATAATAATGGAACCTTCTAAAGATAAATTTTTGCTTTAATTTTCATAAATATTGATATATTTTTTCTTCTAATTTTAAAATTATTGTTGTAAAACAATAATTTTACAACAACAATTTTAACAACTTTTGTAAAAGATTGATTTACAAAAGTTGTTATCATTTTTTTATACTAATGTTATTTGTTACGGTAAAAAAGTAAAACACTTTTTATTAAGAACAGAATCCAATTTGAATGAATAAATAATTTTGAAGCAGCTTTTTTTTTTGAAAGGCAGCTTTAAAATTATTGGTTTTGATTTGAACAATTGAGAATTAAATAGAAAAAATCCAAATGAAGATTTAAACAGAATAAAATTAAAATCATAAATTTAGAAAAATGATTAAATAGCAAATGGAGCACTTTAAAATTAAAGGGTTGCACCTAATATAAAATTTATTCAAAATTTAAGACATCACTAATATGAAGAAAATATTAAATATATTTAGTAAACTTATGTGAAATACCTCCTCTGTTGCAATTTTAGGAGACTTTACTTTATTTGATATCTTAACTTTGTTATTAAGAGTCAAATTATTTTTATAGCTATAAGTACATATAATTTTCCTTTGCTTTCTATCTAAAGATAGAGCACTTTGAGCTTGAATAACAGCATGGCTCCAAGACTCTTTTACAGAAGAACTAGAAAATTTCAACGTTCCTAAACTTTTCGGAAGTGATAAAAATGCATCCAAACCTGAAAATTAAGAAACAAAAAATTTCATAATAAAATTTATTTTAATTTTTCCGACCCAATCAATGGATGTTATAAATTCATGTTTGCATTTATAAAAAACTTTTAACAAACTTTTAATAAACAACAAAACTTTCAACTCACAAGAACAACTAAACACACACTGAATTTCATAAATTAAAAAAAATAATTAAAAACCAAATTTATTGACTCAAATATAGGTGTCTGCAGTTTAGAGGCCTAAAATAATTACTTTTTTGTTTATTGTGCTGTTGTCAGTGGAGACTTTAAAACACAAAGTAATATTATATGGCTTTTCGGTACATACATTGACTTATTTATAACCTGCTGCAGCAAGGGAGTGCTGCTACATTGACTAAGGGTTTGGCATGAGGCAGCAACCTTTTTTCTTTTATTGTTTTAATTATGAATACAATAGATTGTTTCCCCTTACAAAACCCTCAAACAATGTAGCAGCATTCTTTTGTGGCAGATAGTTTACATATGTACTGAAGCCAATATATATATCCATGTCTAAAAAGCCTCCACAGAGTAAATAGTATGGCGCAATAAGCAAAAAATATCATTATTATAGGTTGCTAAATTGCAAAATTTACCAGAATATATTCAAACAAAATATATTATGGGTTTATATAATACAAACAACTTTTTATACCACAAGTATGTTAACATATTACTACTTTAGTAACTAGGTATATTTTCTATTTTGAAACAAACTTACTAAAAAATGCAAATTTTCATTTGCCTGATAACTAAAATCTGCTATTTATTATAACATGCCTACCACTGAAATCCATGAGATTTGTTTTAGAAACCCAGCCTCTTGTAGGTGTATCGCCAAAAAACTGAACATGATACTTGATAGAATTTCTTTCCATTTGACAAAATACTGCAGTAATAGGATCATAAGATATCATAGAGGGCCACCAATTATGACCTGGAATTTTTGCCCAAAAAACATCTCCAACAAGATACGAGTCTATTGGTGGTAGTTTTGCAATACAATAGTCAAAGTTACTTATTATATCTTTTAACTTTTCAGGACTATTTTGATTAGTACTAAGAGGTAAAAAACAAATTGCTTCTGAACACTTCTTATTAGTTAGCGAACTTTTGTTCTTTGCTTTCGATTTACCAGCATATACTTTCTTCACCTTCGGTTTCATTTTTTCTTTATTTTGGTGTGTGCGTGTGTATTATTACAATAATTGTTTTAAACTCTATTCAAAACTTCTTGAATTTTTTGTATGATCATATTTTAAGTAAAAGTACTACTATTTAAATTTTGAGACAAATCTCATGGCTTCCATGGTGGCAAAAGACACGAAATGCAATTTTGGCGCCAATAATTAAGTCACTTGAATAGTTTCACGGCAATTAAGTCCGGTGCATCGTTTGTCAACCATTTTGAGCCTTAAATCTAGTGAGTTTTTATTAATTTGGATTTTTTTTTTTAAAAAAAACCACTTTAACAAAACGCTATGAACGACACAGTTTTTGTAAAGCTTGTGTGTGAGGGAAGTTAAAGATGTTAGAAGGAGGCAAAGGCAAAAACACGTTTGGTTCACACGTTAATTAAAAAACTCAGACAAAAAAAAAAAAAAAATGCAAGCTAGAAAAAAAGATTACATTTTTGAACATACCATACAAAAACAACTTATAACTTTGAATATTAAATGTTTAAAGAAATTAAAGTTGGCTAAACAAGCAATTCAGAACATTTATTGTTAAAAATAAATAACTTCGAGGCTAGTGTATATACTTATACTAATGTCAAATAAGAGAGTTTGAAAAAATTCTGGTAATCGGTGCCGGTGATCGGCCGCAGGAAACATTATTAAGCCTCAAATTTGGGAATCCTTCCCCGAATGTAGTTTTAATCAAAAAAAAGAAATTAAATTTTTTTTGTATTAAATTTTTTTTGTATTATTGTATTAAGCTATATCAAAATTAAAAGACAGACAAAGTTTATTATAAAGTTTTAATTTTCCATTAAAATTTTATAATAAACTTTTACTTTATAAAACATTTGATAATATACTTTTTACAAACTACTTTTTTGCAAAATTTATAAATATTAATTTTTACAAAAAAGTAACACTTTAACTGTGTGTGCAACACAGTTAAAGTTACAGTATAAATACAATGATGTTTTGTAACTTGTATACAACGTCTTATTTAAATAAGAAAATGGAAACTTGTACAAATCACACAATTAAAAAAATTTCGAGCATCGACTATTTCTTGAAGTTATCTATTTTAACAATAATTAACGTAATTTATGGGCGACGTTATAAATAACGTAAATTACGTCACGCTCTAGGGAGAAAGAGGGCGTTAGTGGTTTTGTGACGACACGTACGCGACTTGTTTCTAAAGAGCTACGATGGTGTGACGACGGGGGAAGTGGAGTCTGGGTAAAAGAGGGTCCTAAATTGCGTGACGTAATTTATGGACAACCCCATAGCGGTTTAGGGAAGAATACTTTTAAAAGTTGTTAACCGACATAAATTTTTGCCAAAATTTTTAAACTGCGTTTTACTGTAGAGAAAAAATCTTAATACATTGCATTTACTGCGAAAAAGAAACATAAGTTAGAGCGTGGAAATGTTCTAAAATAAGAGATAATGTAAGCAAACTTCCAATGTTATTATTTTTTCAATTTATTTATCAAACGTTTTATATATTGAACGATTAATATGATAAATGAAATATTAATTTGTAAATGTAAAGCATAACTAAAAACCCTAAGAAAAAATGTCAAAAATCTTGTTTTTTTACATCTGAGTGACTGTAGCATATTCTGCTCAAACCCTAAGAAAAGTTTCCTTTAAAACTCTTTTTGTTTCATATTTTAAAAAGTGAAAATGTATCGAGAGTTTTTTGATTTTGTTTTACAAAATTTCCCAGCTAACAAGAAACGTTCGACAAACGTTGCGAACGTTCGAGCACATTCTATGAATGTTCATAGAACGTTCTTAGACAATCACAACGTTCGTTAAACGTTCTTGAACGTTTAATGTTAGCTGGGTTTGTCTTTTAAAAGTTATGATCATTTAATGTTAATTGTTGGAGATTAATTGGATAATATGAAACTATAAATATTATTATATTTTAAACAACAACAAAAAATTTATTAAATTTTTAATTTTTTAATTAATTTTAACTTAGTTTAAGTACGTTTAGCAAAAATAACACAGGCTGATATCCAATAACTTAAAAACCTAGTGCCCCCCCCCCCTCATACACCGTGGGCCAAACAGCTGTTTTCAAACACATTGGTTTATAACTTTTGAACGAAAAGTCTTATGGGGTTTATTAAAGACTTTTTGGAAAGGTTTTTATGTGTAAGTTTTGGAAAAACTAAAAAATAATTTTGCTGCAGGATATTTAGATTATAATTTAAAAGAACAAATTATTGAAAATTTCATAAAATTTCCTTTTTTATTGGTTATAACAAAAATATTTATAAATGTTTACAAATATGTATGTATATTTTGTAATACAAAGATAACATAGATACATCAATAGTAAAAATATTAAAATTTATTAAAAGAAATACTAAAATACGTAATTTATTTATATGTTAACATTTTAAAATATATGTCGTCTTCAGATAAAATTTTATTAGAGAAATTTTATTAATGAGAATATTTATTAGAATGTCCTCATTTATTCCAAAATTTTCAGAACGATTTTGACTTGTATCTCTTGTCAAAAAAATTTTGATTAGACGATATATCTACATTCAGTTAATGTTGACTGTTAAATTGAAAATTTAAGAGCATGGATGCGGAGTTCCAAAAAGGACTCCGGATTTAAAAGTCACAAACAAATTACTTCTTTCTAGATTATTGTATCCAGTAGCTTTAAAAATACAAAAAAGTTTATGGGCTAATAATGGGGAAAAAATCAAGATTTATAGGTCAGAAGAACAATCAATTTTTGAACTCGGAGTTCTTAGGTGTAATGGCAGCAAGGACTCTGTGCTTAAAAACAATAAACGTGAAGTCATTAAATGTCATAACTTTTTTAATTCTTCATTAATCAACCAACATGTTTAGAGCTTCTGAACACCAGAGACCATGAAAAAATAAATTTTTAAAGCCTTAGTCCTTTTGGGACTCCGCATCCCTGTTTAGGAGTTTTTTGAAAGTGAAAAGTTTTTCTTGAAAGTCTAGTATGTATCAATCTCAATATTTTGTAAGATTTCCCAAACCACTTTCCTCATTATTCAAAATTAGCGCCCAAGAATGACTTACCAGTTTGTGAATTGATGGTGTTATCTGATCCATGGTCTAGGTAAATTTATTTTTGTAACAGGTGGAAACTCGTTAAATAAAAAATCTGTACAGTAGAAATATACAAATATAATTAAATTAGTCTACATGATTTTTTTTTGAGGAAAATACTTAAAGAATACTTAGACTGCAGTTATGGAAATTTACATTCCCATTAACTGCAGTCTAAGATGGTTTCTACATAATATTACCACATTAGCACTGCTTTTATTGTGACATTTTCTCTTATATAATGCCAAAAATAACTTTTATGTATCATTTATACCTATTACATATCTTTTGCAACAAATTTACATCAATCAAACTTGAATATTTCCTAAACAAATCGTGCCTTTAAATTTTTTTTTTTAATGAATTGGAAATTTATTTGGCTTTCAATAACAGCTAACTTAAATTTATTTTAGTAACATTGATTTTTGAGCAATGTCCACTGTTTGGTCCAACCTGTCCCTTGCACAAAATCCCGAGGACGCCATGATTTGACTTACAATATTTTGAAGAGCTATGATGGAAATACTGGGGGTTTTTAAGCCATTCAACACTATTGATCATGAAATACTTCTCTAAAAAAAAAAAGAACTTTATTGCAAAACGGCTTGAGTTCTATCTTCAAAATTGTAAGAAACATATACTGTATGATTTATTCAAAACTGATGATATTCACTTATCCTCTAAGCTCCTTAATTTCGTTTTTTATTTGATGATACTTGTTGTTTCTTTTCTGGCTCAAATTTAAAATTCGTTTTTTCTACTCAGGTCCGTTTCTACCAGAGGCGAGAGTAGACGGCCTCCTAGCGCGGCAAGATTTTTTGCTCGGCAAATTTTGAAATCTATTTTTTTTTAATGTTATTATTTATTCTCAACAAAGCATTAGGGGTCAAAATATACAGGAATCAAAATTATTTGGGATCTTAAAAAACAGTAATAATAAAAATAACTGTAATACTAACTGATAACAGTTTATTAAATTTATTAAATAGACCTAAAAACCGTGAGTTGTATAGAAAAACTGTATATATTATATAAAAAAATAGAAAGCTCATTTATTAAACTTTTTTTCTATTGTTAATTTTTTAAATAATAAATTTTTAAAACAGCCGTAGCCAGTGGCAGATTAAGACTTCTTGGGGCCCGGGGCTATTTTTGTTTTTGGAGGCCTTTCTATGGGCCAGAACCTAAAAATGACTGGAAAAAAAATTATCTAAATTATCGGGGCCCGGGGTTATAGTCCCCCCTAGCCCCTTTGATCCGGTACTGGCCGTGGCGCAGCAGTTTTTGTTTCTGACTCGATTTTTGTTTCACAAAGTTGAAATAAAAATTTGATCTTCAAAAGCTTTTGATACCATAATATAGTGATAAAACCTCTAAATCGCTCCACACAGCTCTTCAACTTACTCCGCTTGGGTAGGTTGAGCAGCTTGGTAAACTTTAGGCGGTACCTTCTCAAACAAAATTTTTTTTACCAATTTTCAGCAGGTTAAATTATCTTTTTGACAGCGAAAACTATTATGCAAATGTTTACAATAAGTCGAAATGATACTGTTAGAAAGCAATTTTAATCTTAACTTAGAAAGCATTCTTAACCTCAATTGTACATATTTAATAATAAAAATTGCTAAAAAATTAAATGCAACAATTTTTTTTGAAATTTTTAATAAAACACACTTCTTCATTTTTGACGATATTTGATAACTTTAAAATCGCTAAGCGTGCAATGGGTTCTGATCTTGCCTGGGACATTTAAGGTATTCCACACCTAAATAACTATTTCTAATACTTTTTCTTTATTTAAATTACTAAAACCATGATAGTTCTTCGATAATTTTAAAAAATATTGAAGGTCACTGAACTTTCATTTAGAAAAGTTTACTAAATTTTACTAAGTTTTAGACCCTTTGCAGAAAACTCATTCATTATAACCTTTACTAAATTTCCGCAGTCATCTTAAAAACACTCTGATTTAATTTCATTGATAAATTTTAAAAGTTTATATTAATAAGAACTACATTAAACATAAGCTACATAAAGTTGTAATGCGAAATTTGAA